TCTCTCTCTCTCTCTCTCTCTCTCTCTCTCTCTCTCTCTCTCTCTCACACACACACACACACACACACAATGCTCACCAGATAATGATGGCTCATGCCTATAATCTTAGCTACTCAGGAAGCTGAGATCTAAAGATCTCAGTTTGAAGCCAGCAGGAGCAGGAAAGTCTGTGAGACTCATCTCCAATTAACCAACAAAAATCAGGAAGTAGACTGACTCATGTGATAGACTGCCAGCCTTGAGTGAAAAAGCTATGGGACAGTGCCCAAGCCTTGAGTTCAAACCCCATGACTGGCACACACACACACACACACACACACACACACACACACACACCACGCCACACCACACCACACATATGCACAACCACATACACACACATATATTTTCTTATTTTTGCTGGAAATATACTGGTACCCACTAGCATGATCTCTCTCTTAAGTGGATGAACTAGCCACTGGACACAGACAGCTGCATGTCCGTAGTTGGCCCTGGGTCCATTTAAGTCTTCAGGAATCACTGAGAATAATTGTCCACTCAGCACTCTTTTATCACTCAAATCTTTATACGGGTCTCAGTTAACTTCTCTGCTAGTGTCTCTGACCATGGACTATATCCTGGATTGGCTGAACTAAATGAATTCATTCATTCTCAGTTCCACCTTCTGGATCGAAGGTTTCACATAAAGAGCAAGAAGGGAAGATGAGCACTTTGTCCTATTTTGGGGTCACTTTTGCTTAAAGAATGCTAGAACCTGCTAACTATCCCATCAGGAAAAAGAACAAGACCAGTGATTAGACACTTAGGGCCTGCTTTGAGAGATGGCAGTCACATGTTAGTATACCAGATGGATCTAATAATTGAGCATATATGTAAGGTCCGCATACACTGAAGCTTGGCTCATCTGTTAGTATACCAGATGGATCTAATAATTGAGCATATATGTAAGGTCCGCATACACTGAAGCTTGGCTCATCTGTTAGTATACCAGATGGATCTAATAATTGAGCATATATGTAAGGTCCGCATACACTGAAGCTTGGCTCATCTGTCTCTGCCATTGGGGTTATCCCTACAAATCACCCACATCACCCACATCAGCTCCTGAGACCCATCTTTCCCAGGCTGGCGTATTTCACAGATTTCAAAATAAAGGCAATGTTTGCCTAGCCTTTTTGGGAAAGTCCTTGGTTGCCTTGTGGCCTCCTGGAAATGAGACAAACAAGTAAAGAAGAAATCAGAGAGGTGGGGAAAGGGGAGCAAGGGAGTTGGTGAATGGGGTGAGAGGGACCCAGAAATATCAGTTTTGAAACAGGCTGGATCACTGCCCAGAGATCCAGATTGACAGTGTGAATGGCAATTGAGGGCCACAGTGGTAATGGCTGTCGGCTTAACGCAAAAGAGCAGTGGTTTGAGAGCCAGATTTGGAGAGCAGATTTTGTGAAGAACCCAGGATTCTGCTGCCTCTCAGGATTTGGTTCTAATTTTGGTTTTGGGCTGTCCTCAATGCTCCCACCTCTCATGCAATCAAATTCTATTTGGGGGTTTATTGTGGAGGAAGCCAGCAAATCAGACATCCAGAGAGAGAAGTCCATATCTATCTATCTATCTATCTATCTATCTATCTATCTATCTATCTATCTATCTATCTATCTATCTATCTATCTATCTATCTATATCTATCTATATCTATCTATCTATATCTATCTATATCTATCTATCTATATCTATCTATCTATCTCTATTTATCTGTCTATCTATCTTTATTGAAACAAAACTGAACTCAAAATTATCTGGGTTTTATAAGCATGTTTATCGTCACTCCTAGACACTGACAAGAGTTCAGCAGTATGCTCAGCTCTGCCTCCTGGAAATGGATTGCTCACTGATGGTTAGTTTGCTTTTCTCACTGGTGAAGGTAAATCTCTGCATCTCTTTTATCTCTCAGATCTTTATACGGATCTCAGTTAACCTCTCAACTAGTATCTCTGACCACAGAGTATCCTGGATTTGCTGAGCTAAACAAATTCATTCATTCCCAATTCCACCTTTGGGATCAAAGGTTCACATAAAGAGCAGGAATGAAAGAAACAGCGCTTTATCCTATTTGGGGGTCGCCATTGCTTAAAGGATGCTACACCCTGTGAACTCTCCCATCTTCCCCCTTCTGAGGCTCTACTCTGATCACTGGTACCTTCCCAGGATTCCCAGGGCTGGTGTGAGGATGAAAGAAGGACACACAAGCATAAGAAGCGGCAGTATTGTGACACTCACTGATATTGATCAGCAGGAGGGAGCTGTAAGGATAGCACATTCTCCTCCTTGCTCTGTGGACTTCTCTTTCACACTTGAGCTGAGTCCTGTATGATTGTGCTGGGTGACCTGGGAACCCAGCTTGTGTTCTTAGAGCCTCCTTTGCTGCTAGGGGGCCTGAGACCCTTATGAGGGAGGACAAAAGAAGGGGTAAGCATGAAGGATGCCACGTGGCAGGACTGCCTATCCTCATCTGTTCCTGGAGATGAGTGAGTCCTGTAGGACTGATTCTCTCATCCCATGTCTCTAGGTGTTCTGGTCTCTTCAGTTTGTAGGCATCCAATGGGTCAGGCTCCCTGGATCCCCTACCTGCTTATTGAAATGTCTGATGGTCCTCATCTTACTTAGTGTCAAAAAAAACCTTATATCCTTATAGGCATGAACACGTGGCCTAATGATAGTCAGTGTCTTGAGATGGATAGAATTCTCAGATTCTTTGAGTTACTGTAATAAGGCAGGTTGAAGATAGGTATGTTCCGAGGAGCTTGAGTGATATATGTTTTCTCTCTCTATGTGCCAAATTATTGTCAAATACTTATTTTTCATTCTAAAATTCTTCCTCTGCAAGGGCCTTGGGATTCCTTCTCTGATTAGGACATAATCTAAATACTTATTCTGGCCTCTCTCTCTCTCTCTCTCTCTCTCTCTCTCTCTCTCTCTCCTTCTGATGATACTTAAAAAGCACTTTGCCTTAGAACTGGAGTTATAGCAAGGTATTAAGTCTAGTCTGGACTTTCCCTACTAAATTTTTCCATGTATGGGTTTTAGATATCCATTTAAAAATATCCACGTGTGCCCAGGTGTGGGAGACTTACAACTGTAATTCTTAGCTACTCAGGAGGTTGAGATCTAAGGATATCTCACTTTGGGGTGATTATTTAGAGATAAGACTCTCACAGACTTTCCTGCCCTGGCTGGCTTTGAACCCTGATCCTCAGATCTCGATCTCCTAAGCAGCTAGGATTATAGGTGTGAGTCACCAGTGCCTGGTATAGACAGGTGGATTTTTAAAGACAGTGAAGGATGGATAGATTAAGGCCTGAGGCTGTGCAGGGTTGGGAAGCTGTTCTGCAATCCAAGGGGGTTGGGGGATAATAAGGCTCTGATAGAAGTAAATATCCCTGAAAATGGAAAGAAAAGTCTTGGCTTGAGAGGCCTCTAGACAATAGAAAGGCTCCCACTCTCCTGTTGGTTTCACAAGTCCTAAGTACATTTTCCCATACATCTTTTAGCAGTGTAAGCTTCCGTAATGACAGTTGACTCTGCCAACCCAAGGCTAAACCAGTGAACAAGTGCCTGTGTTTGACAAGCCCAGTCGACCCAGATCTGGTTTGCCTGGAATGAGCGCCCAAAACACGAGTAGTCTCTGCAGTGTGCAAAACAAAGCCACCCCCAGCTCACATGTGTGTCTGTGATTCCTGAACATTCGGGAAGAAGATGAAAACAGCTCCCAGTGTTGGTTTTTAAGAAAATGTCAGATCCAAAACATTCAACCATATTCTCTCTGACTCAACATGCTTGTAGCTTTCCATGAGGCACCTTGAGAAATAATATCATCCTTTCAGCTAAGATATCTCTGATGGCCAATAAAAGGAATGCAAGATTGGATCCAAATAGACTAGGATTTGTAATAATTGTGTGACCTTAGGTAAATTACTTAATTTCATAGTATCTTTGCTTGTAAAATACAAGTGTTTATCATTGTACAAGTCAGTTGCAAGAATTCTAGAATATATTGCACATATATATGTATGTATCCTTAAACAATACACCCTAACACATGTGTACCCCCCAAACCAAATAGACAAAATTCATAATGAAATACCATCTCATATGCATTAGAGTAATTCTTGGCAGGAAGATGAAATGTATCTCAAGTATTGATGTGGATATGGAATAAAACCTCTTATACACTGTTGGTGGAAATATAAATTGTATAGCCAAATGGAAAATAACATGGAGATTCTTCACCAAATTAGAAATAGAATTTTCCTTATGTCCAGTAATCTCACTATTGGATATATATCCAAAGGAAATGAAACCAGTATATCAAGCAGCTATCTGTATTCTTGTTTATTTCAACTATTCATGAATTTCAATATATGTACAAGACTTAATGTATATTGAAATATTATTTAGATTTTGAAAGGAAAGAAATTCTGTCAATTTTGATAGGATGAGAGACCCTGAAGGACAGTATGCTAAATGAAATAAGCCAGACACTGAAAGGCAAATAAATACCAGATTATCTCCCTTATTGTGAAATCCAAAATAGTCAAAATCTTAGAAACAGTAAGTATAATTGCCACCAACAGGGGAGAAAAAAATCTGGGGTGATGGTGGTCAAGAGGTTCAGAATTTCAGTCTTGCAAGATAAATAAGTTCCAGAGATTAATTCACAGCAAGTTCCTTCTTATATGCAGGGGATGCGTTCTAAGATGCTTTATATAGGCCGAAAACTGCATATAGCAATGAATTCTATGTATATTATATCTCTAACCTTTTTTCCTACACAGTCACATTTGTGATTGGTTTAATTTATAAGCTAGACCCAGAAATTCAAGCGTGCACAACAAAATAGAATGATTGTAACAATAGACTATAATAACAGTTTTGTGAATGTAGCCTTCCTTTTCCTTCTCTCTTAGTTCCTCTCCTTCCCTCCTCTGACTCTCTTTTTTCTCCCCTCCTGACCCAGTGGCATTTGAGGATAGAACCAGCAAAGGAGAAATCACCAGCCCCAAAGACATGACACCAAGAAGGCTTGAGCCCTTCTCTTCTGCTTCCATACATATCAAAAAAACAGGCCTATTTATCTGTCCCACCAAGAAATGGAAGGTCACTTAGTTGGGGTTTTTTGTTTGTTTGTTTTTTTCTTTCTTTTTCTTTTTTTTTTTGGTCAATCTTGGGGCTTGAACTCAGGGCCTGGGCGCTGTCCCTAAGCTCTTTTGCTCAAGGCTAGCACTCTACCACTTTGCACCACAGTGCTACTTCTGGTTTTAAGGTGGTTAATTGGAGATAAGAGTCTTATGGACTTTTTTGCCCAGGCTGGCTTTGAACTTCAGATCTCAGACTCCTGGCTAGTATTATAGACATGAACCACTTGTGTCTAGCCACTTAGTACTTTTGATTTGTTGTTGACCTTGGGTAGCTTAAACCATGGATTGGGATAGAGAGGGACCATGGTAGTTACTACTATGGTTACTGACCACTGATGAGTTTATACCAAAGTCCTACTGGAAGGTGAAACCTGGTTGGAATAAGTGGGTAACTAGGAGCAACATGTATCTGTGACTTAGCACAATGGAAGTGTTTGTTGTTTTTTTCACATCACAATTAGAGATGACTTAGTACCTATCTCCATTTTGTAGCTATGCCATCTGGCAAGGAGACCTTCAAGCCCACAGCGGAAGGGAAGAAAGACACTAACAAGGCTCTAGTTCTTATCTACCTCAGTCTGGAAGTAACCTATTCAACTTCCATTTGTATTTCCTTACTGTCTTATGTTCCCAAACCTTTTGTACCTAGTCCAGCATGGACAAGGTAGAGGAACTCTAGCCCTATTTTCACATGCTGGCTAAGACCAATTAGCTAATTAGTAACTTAATTAGAATTAGAAATCAGATATCCTGATTTCTGTTTGCTTTTTATTTTATTTTTTAAATTTTATTTAATTGTAAAGACACTGTACAAAGGGGTTACATTTACATGAGTAAGGTAACGAGTACATTTCTTGTCAAGCATTGTTACTCCTCCCTCCCTTTTCTCCCACCTTCCCTCCCCCACAATGCTTCCCCCAGTTGTACAGTTCCTTTCCAACATGTTGTCTTATGAGCATCGCTGTTGCATTTGTTCACCCTTTGTCTTTTGTCTCACCATTTTGTTGTTCCCTTTCCCTTCCCTAATTCAGATAAACGTGTTTACAATACACAGGGTACCAAAATCAAATACAGTGACAAAGGGATAAACCATGGGAATAAAAGAAAACAATGCAATAAAAAAGAAATAACTGTGTATAGCACATTAAAAACAACAAAGAAAAACCTCGTTTCCACACCATTGCTTAATTTTTTTTTTCCTTTTTTTGTACTTCTTTTTATTGTAAAAATGCTGTGCAGGGGGTTACAGTTACATGAGCAAGGTAATGAGTATATTTTCTATTGAGCATTGTTGCCTCCTCCTTTGTTTTCCCCCTACCATCCCTTCCCTCCCACCTCCACAACTACCTACCCCCTCCGAGGCCACCCCCATTTCATTTTCAACACAGTGTTTTGTACATCTCATTGTTACAATGGTTCAACCTGTATCCTTATTTAAGCATTTTGTTTTTTCCCTTCCCCTCCCTGAATTAGAGAAGTGTACATACAAGATGTAGGGTACCAACATAAAATACAGTGAAAATAGGGGTTATACCGTGGGGGAGGAACACTCAAAGAAACAAAAAAAATCACATGGCACATTATAAATATGTTAGAAACAATAGCAAGAAAGAAAAAAGATATTTGTGTCCCTATCTTGAGGTTCATTTTGCTTAACATCATCTTATATGGTCATATGTTCATAGCTTTTGGCCTTTTCTGGCACAGGCCAAAATTTTCTTAATAGAGATCCAGAAACACAACAAATCAAAGAAAGGTTAGACAAATGGGATTGCATGAAATTGCAGAGCTTCTGCATGGCAAAGGACATAGCTAGCAAGATCAATAGAAAGTCCACAGATTGGGTGAAGATCTTTACTAGCCATTCAGTGGACAAGGGTCTCATATCTAAAATATACTTACAACACAAAAACTTAAATCCCCCAACAACAAATCCTCAAAGAAACAACTGGCTTATAAATAAGTGGGCTAAAGACTTAAAGAGAAACTTCTCTGAAGAGGAAATAAGAATGGCCAATAGACACATGAAGAAATGCTCAACCTCCCTAGCCATAAAAGAAATGCAAATCAAAACAAAATTGAGATTCTACCTCACCCCAGTTAGAATGGCTAATAACAGCACTTGCTTTTTGTTTTGTTGTTTTGCTTTCAAATTTCTGTTCTGAACTTTGCTGTCTGATCTTCTGTTTGGATGGGACACTTGTGTTTAGGGATCAACCCAGAGTATTTTGGACTGTGCTGTGACTTCCTAATTTTGTTTTTGTTTTGTTTTTGGTGCTGGTTCTGGGGTTTCAACTCAGGGCATGGGTGCTACCCTTGAGGATTTTTTGCGCAAAGCTAGCAATTGAGCCATAGCTCTACTCCTTGCTCTTTGTGTGTGTGTGTGTGTTTGCTTAATTGGAGATCAGAGTCTCTCAGACTTTCCTGTCCTGGCTCGCTTTGAATCTTGATTCTCAGATCTCAACTTCCTGAAAAACAAAACACTCGTAAGTAGCTGTGACTTGTTTCTTGCAGTATTTATGTACATGAGCCTTTGGGTTCAACACTTGCTGGGTTCAAAGGTAAGCTGTTATGCATCTGACTTATCTGTAGAACAGGTTTTGGAATCTTCCTCATACAGTTTTCAAGAGGAGAAAACTATAATCAATGCTTAGCAGGTTTGGCCTCTCCTAACTACAGTATACTTGATAGCTATTATCAGTGTTGTCAAAGGAAGGTGAAGACAAATGAAAAGTCATGATTCTTGACCGTGGGTCCTTAGATAAATGTGTATCCTCAGATTTCAGACTTCACTCAGCCTCTGAGTAGCTAAGATTATAGGCATGAGCCACCGGTGCCCAGTCAAATGGATTATTTCCAAATATGTATGTCTGTAGATTGGACCAAGATCCCCAATGGAGAAGGGAGCCCTCTGAAAGGGCAGTCATAGCATCCATAGGCACAGGGCTTCATTATAAAGAAAGGCACTGGTGGGAAGGAGGAGGGAGAAAACAAGCCTAAACTCAATGCTGGCTTGTCTAGGGTCCACAGACTGCAGGTCCAATACCCTAGCTATTATAGTTTGAAGTATCCTCTTGAATGGCTCATGTGTTGAAAGCTTGGATCCTAGCCAGTGGTGCAGCGAGAGGTGATTCGTTCATAAGGGCCCTAACTTCATTAATCGATTAATCCATTAATGAATTCACTCGGAATAGGCTTTGGGGAGGTAGAACCTACTTGGAGAAAGTACATAACCTATGGCATGGCTTTGAAGGGCATATCTTGTCCATGATAGTTTTCTTTCTGGATGCTGGAAGGTATGCAGCTTCCCTTCACCATGCCCTTCTGCCATGCTAGTCTGTCTTTCTACAGGCCCAGAATCTATAAAGCCAATGACCATAGACTTGAACTTCTGAAACAATGAGCCAAAGTAAATCATTCTTCCTTTAAGTTGTTTGCTCAGCTATTTTGACACAGGAACAAAAAGCTAACTAGCACCCTATCACTTAAATCTATATTTATTAAATATTTGCTCATTACTTATTTTTCTTATTTTTTTTTGTACTAGTACTGGACTGGTACTTGAACTCAAGGCCTGTGTTCTTGCTTGGCTTTTCTGCTTAAGGCTGGTGATGCTCTTCTTCGTGAGCCACAGCTCCTCTTTCAGCTTTTTTTGGTTGTTAATTGGAGATTAGAGTCTCACAAACATTTCTGTCTGGGCTGGCTTTGAAGTGTGAATCTCAGATCTCAGCTTCCTGAGTAGCTAGGATTACAATTGTGAGCCACCAGCACTCAGCTACTCAGCACTTCTTTCAGGATGATGAATGGTCCATGGAGAAAGGCTGACAGTGAAGGCAGCTGGTGGCACATAGCACGTGTTCTCTCTGATGTCTGAAACAAATTAGCTCTGACCCAAATGGGTCCATCTGTCTTGCAGAGAACAAAATGGTGCCATTTTATGGACTCACCCTTTAGAAGGCAGGTGCTAATCTCTCAGTCCCCAGGGGATTTATAACACAAACATCCTCAAGTGTGCTGTCTCTGAGGATGAGCTCCAGATACTGGCAGGCATTGGTACAATGGGCTGGGAGCATGCACCCATTGTCTTCTTCCATTTAGGAATCTTATGTTCCATCTCTCTGACTTAATGGAAATAGCTACAGGGAGAGGATTTCTTAGCATGCTTGATTTCTCCTCCTAAATGCAAATCTAAATTGTGCTTATTTGAGGTGGTGCAATTACAAGTTCTGCAATGCTTGATGGTACCCTATTTTCATCTAGACAGCCAGAAAATGAAACATGGGAGCCTGCAATGATGATATCTTATGAGAGAAATGTTTATGCAAAAAGAGAAACTAAGCCTGGTGCTGGCGGCCTGAAATCCTAGCTACTCAAGAGGCTGAGATTCGAGGACCATGGTTCAAAGGCAGCCCTGCTAGGAAAGTCCATAGGACAGTTATCTCTGATTAACCACCAGGAAACTGGAAGTGGCATTGTGGCTTCTTGGTTTCCTCAAGTAAAGAAAATGAGCAACTTGTTTTGATCTCACACAGCTGTGAGAAAATAAGCGGACCACAGTTTACAAAATGACTGAGCACATTTGTTTCTCAACACTTGAGGCTGCTGGTGGCAATGTAGAGCAAAATGGTCTTTTATACAGTACTTTTCCAAGCCTTCCCTTTCCTTAAGAGGCCCTTAGTAGACCACATAAATGTTTTAGATGCACTTATTTGATTTATTACAGAGAACTGAATTTTTGGAGATAGATCAGGAAAGAATGATGAAATAGGCTGTTACAGAATAAAACACCTGCGCTATCATAGGCCAGGACCAATCCCCATAAACTGACTAAGTTTTAAATTTCCTGACTCATCTAAGTAATTGGTTAATTAATTCTCTTCTCCATTTAAAAATGTTAATTGAATGTGTTCTATTATTCCTTTACTTTGATTCATAACATGCTGGTAGCTTGTGTCTATA